TGCGTGTTGAGAAGAAGCGCAAAGTGGAGTCAAGTGACATTCAGATGTTTCTGTTCCAGGTCACGTTTAGAGAAAACTGCTGAAATAATGGAGGGGCATTTTTCAAGCCGAGCTGCAGCTCCAACAACTATGTTTACTTTAACGCTTCGCTAGTGACTTCTGATTGGTTGTCATGACTTCATCTTACTTTGGCACCTAAGATGTTGCATCAGTGACATATGCATACCTTTCCTGTGAAATGATGAGAATAAACATAACATTCCAATAAAGAATAACTGAGAATAAACATAGCATTCCAATAAAGAAGAATGGACAGTGCCTTGGTTACTCATTTTAATCATGGGTAGATGTAGTTTATGGATTTAAACATTTGGAGTTCCATTTCCCTTGTGGATAAACACTTACCTTCTTTCAGTCCAAGCGAATAGAATGCTGAGCCTGAAAAAATATGATTGATCAATGTAGGTAAAATTGTCTGTTACAGGGTTTTACTTGAAGACCATAATGAGTAGTTCCACTGGTCTTGGGATTTTAGTGTAGCCCCCTGACCTGGCACATGTGAATTCCTCTTTGGCAGGTTAATATGCAGAGCTAAGTAATTTTAGCTGATTGTTTTTATTTAGCTACCAATAAGGGATTTGAAACATATATAATTTACCCCATTTTCCATGCTTTTTTTAATTGGTAATCAATTAAATTGGCTAAATCTTTAGATTTGTGGAGTTTCATTTTGGGTCAAATGTATAGTCTGGTTTTGCTTTTAGGTTTTATCTCTGCAAATTCTTCTTGATGAGTACAGTGCTGTACTGATTTCATTCTTCCAGCAGGTTCCTCAGGTTCTTTGTATTTGACATCACCTGTCTGTTTTATGCCTCTGTGACCTAAGTCATCATTTGTAGATTGAATGTTAAATACACTATTATTTATTAGTAAGCACATTTAAGACTTCAAAGTAGAATCTTAAGGCCTGTGAATTTTATATAAATCACAGCAAGTGTTGTATAAAATGCCATGTCTAGCACTAAACTTGTGAAGGCTTCTGATTAAGATCCTGTAATTTAGACCTTGTAAACACAGATCTAAAAATGAATTTACAGTTATAGCTACACAAGTATGGAAATGGAACTAAGATGAATTAAACCTTAATTTTTCCTATATCTTTTCTTGGTGTTTTCTTGATATTCTACTAGACTATATACTATCAAAGTTCATATATATATATATATATATATATATATATATATATATATATATATATATATATATAGCGAGAGAGAGAGAGTGTGTCTCTTTAAAGGTTGCCTTTTGGAATCGATTTTGGTACATCATTACAAAAGATGCCAGAAGTTTTATGTATTTAAGGGGTAGAATGTTCAATAATCAGGTCTATCATTTTATCTTGTTAAAGATAACAGAGGTTTCCCATGTGTAATTGAATGACGCAACACAATTTCCTATCCTATGGTAATTTAACGTATTTTAAATAATTAAATATAAAAAGAACACATTTAAGGTTTAAGATTCAAAGCCTAAATTATAGGGATTGCCTTATTAGAGAAATAATGCATAATTATTTTACAGTAACTTTATGCAGTTACTTTTACAGTAACTTTAAAGTTTTAGGAAACTTTATATTAATTAAAACTCAGATTAGAAGCCTTTTACTTAGGTGGTTGTGTATTGATTGAATTCTTTAAAAAGTTACTACAAAAGTTGGCATGTACTTTGATTTGCTAAAAGATTTTTTACACTTTTCTATTTCAAAATAATTACATGTCCTTATACTGTTTTACTTTCCTTGGCTTCTTAGTTATCATATATTAATACTTATTTTGCAAAGTAAGTGTTTTGTATCATATAAAGAGATTTGGGTATTGTTATATATGGAAGAAAGGAATGAAGTGATAATGTTTCACTGTATGTGTATACATCAATTAAGATATGAAGAAAACTAATTGAGAAATACTAATTTGTTTCATGGAATAATGATTTAATTTTCAGTGTTTATTAAAAATCAACTCATATTTAAGTATATATTCCTGAATATTTATTGATTGCTATTTAGTGTTAGAAACATTCAAAAGATAATTTTTCATACTTTTTTATTATCTTTAAGAAGTTGTACAAAGAAATTACCATTTAGCAAAGCAAATCATCAGTGGCTCATGCCTGTAATCATAGCTACTCAGAAGGATAATTGTTTTTAAATACTTTAAGTGGAAACATTCAATGTTGATATCTAAATAATTCAAACTCCAGCCAAAAAATAAAAGAAATCTAAGTGATAAAGGTTGTTGGATTTATGTTGCAGTGATTGAAAAATAGAATCATTTTTTTCTGTTGATGACTCAGTAAAAATTTGACATTGTGCCTTTATAAGATTGAACAAATGAGCTTTGCAATGTTCAATTATGTAATCAATAACTTAGACAAATGGTACTTTTTTGAGAATTTATGTTTGACTATTTCTTGTATTTATTTTTATGGAACACATCAAATTTCAGAGGAGTGTTTTGAAATTTATGTGGGCACATCAACTTTTCAACACGTGACTTCTAAAGTCAAGTGCGAACTTCTTTAATAAGCCTGATATTATGAAGATACTGTTTCTAATGATTAAGTTATAAATTATCATGATAAGTTTTAAAAAATTCTGATGATTATTATAATTATTGTTCAGATATTTGTCATTCATTATGAAAAGATGATGCACATTATATTGATTAACTAAAGTCCATTTTATTACCTGGAGTTTAAATTTTTTTATTATCATTACATTATAGTAATTATCAGGATTTTCTCTTCTGAGAATTGTAAGATTCTTTTAGGGGCTTGCTAACTCTGTGTGTGTGTGTGTGTGTGTGTGTGTGTGTGTGTGTGTGTGTGTGTGTGTTGAAAGTTCAGTTCACTCACAGACTTCAGGGAAGAAACATGACAAGACACCACTTACTCACAGTACAAAATCTAGAGAGGAGGCAATTTTCCTTTTGGCCTATGGTGACCTTTTTTTACTATGTTCCTTACACCAGAGACAGTGTACTGAATGCCTCTATTTCATCCTGTTTAGCAGAGTGCAACAGTGTTCTTTAGCTTACTTATGGTGGGAGGAGAAGTTATAGCTGAAATTTGAGAAGGGCGTGAAAAGTTATAAGAGGCACAAGGAAGAGGGGGTAGAACTTATTTCAAATGTGATTTTAATAACTAGTCAAGTGTGTCCAACTGTAGAAAATCACCAAGTGACAATCTGTCTACCTGACAGTGATCACAATGAATTACAAGACTTTTGAATAGCTTTACAGATTAGAATGAAGCAAGACCAAATAAAATATCTTTTGTTGGAAAAACTTTTGACTTGCCAGCTAAGAAACTTTAACACACACACACACACGCACACGCACACGCACACACACACAATATTTCTTTTACTTTGAAGTAAAATGTTTAAAAGTTATGAGAAATATTTTATTAGTTCTTTATGAAAGGAGCATTTATCTAAAAGTTTTATTTGAACATCTGTTCATGAATGTGTGGTATTTTGTTAATCAGTTTGGTATATATTATCACACAATTTTCACATATGTTGGATGACTATATCTTAATTAATGGCCTTGTCACTAAAATAAGAACTTCAGTAATCTTGAAATTTTCCAAGACATTCATGGTTTTAGACAGTAATATCAGATTAGGGGTAAAATCTTAGTGAAGTTTGTAAAGAGTTTGTAAAATAAACTTTTTAAAAAGTGAACAAGTAGCATATTTTAAAAAAAGATTATTCTGTGCTAACATTGATTTTTGTTCCTGGTTTTGTTTTACTACTGCTGTTTTTAAAATCATCTTATAGTTTGTTTGGAAAGAAATCAAGTTGAACTCAAAGTAGAACTGAAGTAGAAGGTTCTATGATTATAGTTTTGAAAACCATATCCTTTTTGTGCTCATGGAAATTTTATAAGCTTTATTTTCTATAACTTATTTTATCATAATATTACATCTTTTAAGAATGACCTTGAAGGATTTTACAAGGATATAATTGGAAATCCAACAATACAGAATTGAATAGAAAAGACAGATATATAATAGCTTCAAAAATTTGCATTGCTCATGCTTGTCACTGGCTATTGTTTATCCTTTTCTATTTCTTATGGTTAGGTTAGTCCATTAGTTATAAAGAAAACATCAAAAGTCTTCTTAATTATAGCCATAGAAATGTTTGCCTTACTACAAATAAATAAGACATGACAATATATGTTTTCAAAAAACTTAAAACCTTAGAAATTCAGATAGCTGTATTTTTAAACTTTGAAACTTTACATATACTTTCTTGATACTATTTTTTTACTAAACAGAAAATGGTGTGGTAGTTTGAAATATTAAGTAAATTTCAAGATAAAAGATAATGCAGTTATCATACATCATAGTATTGGTTGACTTATTTCTGTGGTTTATCAGTCTTCTTGAAAGAAAAAAGGTGAATAGACATGCGCAGGTAGACATTATACATTTCTGATATTTAGATATGTAAACTTATGGCATGTTAGACCAGATTTATTCCTTTTTTATTATTGTTTCTTACTTTTGCAACAAATTAAAATGCTCATTATAGAGCAACTGTAAAAAAAAATCCTAGAAATGAAGTTTAAATTATAGTTTTCAATTTCAAAACAGTTATTTTCTCAAAGTATGCATTATAAACATTAATGTTCTTTGAAAGTATACTTATTGTATTACATTTATTTTGGTAAACTTTACATTTTTCCAATTTGAAATGTAACATCTTTGTTAAAATTATAACTTGTTTTTTAGATTTTTTTTACAAATATATAATAATAAAGACAACTTTAAATTATTTTTACTGTAGAATTTAAACCAAAATGTTTCCTAAAGAAATAATTTAGTTAATATACAGCTATATTAACTTGTTTCATTTGAGCTTTTAGTAACATTTTTATTGAGTGAAAGTATTCTAACATTAAATTGCACCATTTTCTTGTATTTCAAAACAGGAAGGATATGGAGTAATAGTACTAAATCCCAATGAAAACTACATTGAAGTAGAAAAACCGAAGATACATGTACAATCATCTTCTGATAGTTCAGATGAACCAGCAGAAAAGCGGGAAAGAAAAGATAAAGTGTCCAAAGAAACAAAGAAGCGACGTGATTTCTATGAAAAGTATCGTAACCCCCAAAAAGAAAAAGAAATGATGCACTTGTATATCAGAGTAAGCCAGAATACTGCTTTCCTTCATTCTTTCCTTTTCTTTATTCATTCTTTAGCTCATATAAATTGTGGATTATTTTTTAAAGCTTAATTGTTAGCTATTTGTTCTCTATAGCTGTCCATTTTGATGAAATGTTTTTATTTTTTATTTAAAATTATCAAACATGTCATTTTTATTTTAGTTTGATGTTTTATAAATGCCACAAATTCAAGTACTATTTTCTTTTGTGTCCTTTACTTCTCCAAGAAAGGATTTTCTAAAATAACTTTAATGTGATAGATGCAGAAAGAAAGGAAAACTTTCTAATCAAGATTTTCAACATGCCATTTCTTTAAAGTCTTAAGCTGTTTTGTTTTCCATGAGAGTTCATTTAGCGTAACATTTTAAAATATCCTACCTGCTGAATTAATAATTCATTGTGTCAAGCAGTCTTTATTTTGGATTGTAAATTTTACTAGATAATTCATTGTTTTCTTATGAGCAACTATTTATTCATTGGTGTCTCAGTCTAATTTCTGATAGTAACAAGAGGAGGAAGAGTGAGTAATATCCTGATAAGTATTTAAAATAAAATAGTTTAGGGATAGTGTAATGAGGAGACTCTTGTCCTTTGCTCTTGTCTTCACCCGTGAGCCTTTGCACTTTGTAATGCTAGCAGCATGAAATTATAGCAGATGCCCAGGGACATCCAGTTCTGTAGGGGGCACAAACAGTTGTATCTGTATGTTGAAATATTATTTCTGATAAATATATGGTATATTATATACATAAAACAAATTTGAACATTTTCAAGGCCTATTTTATGGATACTTTAATTTGACAGTAAAGTATGTGAAAATGCTGCTGAGTGAAGTAAAACAGCAAATTTATATGTTCTTCAAATATGAACAATTTAGAACAGTTAAACAGATAACTTAATATTTATAAATTACCTTGTAAATAATGACATTTCACAATGTTTTATTTCAGCTCTTTTTATATTTTATTTTAAAGATTACTAACATATTTTTTTCATCTTTGAAAGGAAATAAATAGTTTCCAAGTTTTTGTTTTCTTTATTTTACATTGGTTTATGGCAAAATGATCCTCTTTTTAAAATTGTACTTCAAGTAGTCAGTACATTAGGCAATCATTCCATGTGAAAGCAACATATAACTTCACAAGATCTCTCAAAATGTATCCTGACCAAGAATATCCACAACAGTTCATTTGATGAGTTATATCAGAATCAGATTCTAATATTTTAAATTTTAAAACCATCTCCCTAATTAATAATTATTTGAAAAAATTACAAATTTTGAATCAATAAGTAACCTGTTGTTTTAATGAATCTGTACATCATCATGTGTTGTTATATCTTATTCTATTTTTAAGCTTCCTACTGTGTCATCCAGCTTTTAAGCTACTATTTTAAGATAACATTGCATTTTTTAAATAAATTACTTCTAATATTTAGCTTCCAGAAGTAAGTATTGTTGTTTTTTTGAGATATACAACTCATGAAGAATATTTATGTGCCTACATGCAAACAAAAAATGATTTAGTATAATAATTTTATTTCTTCTAAAAATATCTTTCATTCACCTATTGTAGTGAGATACATAAGGATATATCTCAAACATCTCCCTGTAGATTCATTTTTTCCATTCTATTTTCTTTTTGTTTTATCACCATTGCTTTTATTTTTCCTTTTGTTGTCCTTTTGGTGTGCATTTGCTTTATCCTCTTCTTCGCACCTGCCTTCTTGAGTCTTACATCTATGTTTTACTTTGCAAAATATCTTACATTACTCTAATAAGACCAACTCTTTTTTGTTTTGTTAGCACATTTCTTACTTTTACATTTCTGCCACTTTTTGCTATTGTTTTTATGTCTTTCTTTCTTGCCCTATTTTACTTATTACTCTGGATTCCCATGGAAAGAACTAAATATAAAATAAGCTCATTCAGATATGATAGATTTAGCTAATGAAACCTTTTTTAATAAACACCTGATTTTTTATAAATCTGGAATTGTACAGGAATAACACAGATTTACTGAAACTCTTACCTCTAGAAGGTAAGACTTGGTTCTACAGTGGCAAAGTGAAAAGCTTATTAAATTTGACTTACTCAAGAAATAATTTTTCTCTATATACATTTCTAAATATTGTAGTTTATATTCAGAATATGATATACCATAATGGAGATAAATTTACTTTTATTTATACACTTCTTAATCATTTATGTTTTGAAATTCTCTTCTGTACTTTGCAATAACCCAATAACTAGGAGGATCAAGTCATCATATTCACTTTATAGTTAAGGAATTGTTCATCTAATATCACATAGCTAGTAAATGGTAGAAATAAGTGTTGGAATTGTATTTCTCTTCTTTTTATCCCTTTCCAGGTTAGTATGTTGTTCTAACAGTAGAAAAATGTATCTAAAATATGAACATTAAACCATATATTACTTAGTAACATTTGATGACAGATGACAAACATCTATTTGTGAGCAGTTATAAATCATACTTATCTCTATAAACTATATATATATATATATATTCTCTCTTAATGGGATTTTATTTGCAGATGAAAAAACTATGCATCAAAACTTTTAGCATTTTTCTCATGGCCACATAATTCTTAATATAAGCTGTATCAAGGCAAGAATTTAGTCTTTTTGCTCAATGCTATGTCTTTCACCCTAGAATACACAGTTCATAATAAACATTTGGACTTTCCTGCTCAGCCTGTCTCTGAACTATGATCCTCAATTCTCAGGCTAGGATTACAGGAATGAGCCACAGGAATCCGCCTTGTGAGGTCATATTGTAAAAGGCAAGACAAAGTGCACACATTGCCTTTGTAAATGGAGTTGAAGATAAATTATTATTCACATATATTCTTTATATGAAACCAGGCTAATCTACCTGAAACTCAGAAAAGACAGAGGCACTCTTGACAGGAATCCACAGGAATCTATATTCAATCCACAACAATGTTCGACAATAAATACACTTACTACCTAATATATATAACTGTAACCCCTCTGTACATCACCTTGACAGTAACATTTAAATTTAAAAAATAGTATCTCTGAAAATAAATAAATAAACATTTGTAGAATGAAGCCTTCATAGCACATACAGTGATAGATCCTTCAAATCCTAATGAAGTACCAAAAAGCTGTAAGTGGAGCTGTGGCTCAAGTGATAGAGCACCAGCCTTGAGGAGAAAAGCCCAGGTAAAGGGCCCAGGCCCTGCATTCAAGCCCCAGGACTGGCACAAAAAATTAAAATCCTAAACTACTTCTCTCTTTAAATTTTATTTTTGAATATTTATTGTTATTAATAAGTTGTTTAGTGTAATTCTCTAGATAGATGTGTAATTCTGTAGATAGATGCCCAAGAGTGTTATTGCTATATCATAGTTTAGTTCTTTGAAGAATCTCTACATTACCTTCCAGGGTGGTTGTACTAGTTTACATTGAGTTTTTGTTCCCCCACATCCCAGCCAGCATTTGTTATTGTTCAAATTTTTGAGGCTGACCAGTGGTGAGATAATATCTCAAAGTTGTTTTGATTTGCATTTCCTTTATGACCAAAGATGTTCAGCATTTCCTCATATGTTTATTGTCCATTCTTTCTTCTTCTTCTGAGAAGTCTCTATTTAACTCCTTTGCACCTACCTTACTAAAGTGTTTTCCTTAAAGAAATATTCAAACTAAAACAAATAAATACACGAAGTCTGTACATTGTGGATCTCCTATACTCCATTCAATGGCCCAGATAAGATTCCAAAACATAATGTAGCATTTCATTACTTAGTATAGTTAATGAGCTGTGTGTTTTCTTCTGAATACATTAAACTAGACTAGCTTTTTTCACTTTTTATCTATGTCATCATAATGCTAACTTTAAGGATGAAAATGGATGTTTCATCCTGACCATCCTACTGTGATTTACATGCTTACTGTGTTGTGTATGTTTGTGCTTTTTGGAATCTGTAGCTTTGCCTCCTGTTCTTCTCCCAGTCCGCATTCTATCAACATTATAATTTCCAACTGAAATATCACCCATTCCTCTTATTATAACCAATTGCCTGTTCTCTTAAGACTCATGAAGGAATTATAGTTTGTTAACTTACATGGAATATATCATATACTATCTCACAATATTGCTTTTATTTTTTTCATAATTTTATTAATATTCCAAGTTTACCTTTTATACTTTACCACTAGATCTCCCTGTAATTCTCTAAATCTTGCTTCATTTGTATTTGCACTGCATGATGATCCATAAAAATAAGTAGATAGAGCCACTTTTTGCAATATTTCAGTGCATGTTGTTAGAGAATTAGGAACTGATTCTAATGCCCTGGAAGAGGACAAAACCAAAAAAACTAGGTGTTGGCTTAGTGATAACAGATAAAGGGACTTAGAAGAATAAAGGTTAAGCCTAAGAAGAGAAAGACAAGGAAAAATATCAGTTAATAGAACTTAGTCCAATAAAACTAGAATATAGCAAAATGACTATGCTGATGGTTTGACAATGGGCTGGGACTACTTGTACATCTCATTCCTAAGATGATATTTTTGTAGTGACGCATGCTGTAGAAAGTAAGACAGGGTTTAGACTTAGATTTTAAAGAAAACAAAAACAGAAAGAAGCCAGGTGCCAGTGACTTTTGCCTGTATTCCTAGCTACTCAGGAGGCTGAGATCTGAGGATTGTAGTTCACCCTGGGCAGAAAAGTCCATGAGACTCTTTCTTATCTTCAATAAATTACTCACAAAAAGTCAGAAGTGGCATTGTGGCTCAAGTGCTAGAGCTCTAACCTTGAGTACAGACAAGCTTGGGGAACAGTGCCCAAGCCCTGAGTTCAAGCCCCAGGACCAACAAAAAGAGAGACAGAGAGACAGACAGACAGACACAGAGACAGACACAGAGACAGAGAGACACAGGACAAAGAGACAGAGAGAGGAGGAGAGAGGAGAGGGGGATAGAGAAGGAAGGAAG